CCCGTGGGGGGGGGGGGGGGGGGGGGTTGGGGTACAGCGCTCACTTTCGAGATAAGGTGTGTTGAAGATCATGTGTTTTAGAAGCTTTCATTATTTTAAGACGATCTTGTTTACAACTGTCAGTAATAGAGTCACACCTCCCCATATTGGCTACCTTGGGGACAGAGGAAAATGGCTGTTGTAGAGAGGTGCTCATTATGGGGAGGTAGGAGTGTAATGTGTAGTTCCAGAAAATATCCATGACTCCCCCACGGAAGGGATTTTTTCCCAAGATCCCCCTCCCAACCCCTCTGGAAATTCCAATTAAACTTGATACATTTCTTTAAATGTTTTGGTCTTACAGACCCCTCTCCCCCCCNATCCAATTAAACTTGATACAATTCTTTAATTTTTTTGGTCTTAGAGAACCCCCACCCCCCCTCCCCAGGAAATTCCAATCCCTTCTGTGGGGGAAGTATGGATATTTTCTGGTACTGCACTATATGACACCAGGTTTTTTCCTCGGGTTGAACATTTTTATGTCTACAAAATACCTAGCGTAACATGTAACTATGTAACACAATTAAAATATATCAATAAAACAGAAACCAAACAGAAACGTAGACAAACAACACGCGGTATGGATCAAGTTTCGTGAACTTTTCCAATAAAAAATGAGGTTTTGTATACACCTTTCGTCAGTTTTTGATTAACTGGCCGTTGACAAGAGGTTATTTTGGCAGTTGGGACACGCTTCAATGGCTGCTGCCATGGTGGAGAGGTGGCCTTCGTAGAGAAGTTGATAGAGGAGTGAACATATAGACCCTCTGTCGGGACCAAAAAAAGTGACCATTGTGGAGAGGTGGCCGTCAGTGGAGGTTTGACTGTAATAATTAGCAACATTTAGATCAGGGCAACATACCGGTACTCAATTCATCACAACCAATTCTATTAGGTAATGCCTTACAGCTGATGGTGTTCCTTGGGGTAGAAAAGGCTTTGAAAAAGAATAAATAGTAGTCTTGCCATTCATATTCAAGGAAAAATGTGTTCGCAAGGGAGCAGAAAATGCAAAATATTTGTAACTTCTCACTAAAGATAAGCCCGATAAGATATACGCAAGAAACATAAACATATAGCTTTCTTGAAGCAAAACTACAGCGCCTCTGAAGAAAAATGTTGGAGGAAAAATATGATGTCCATGATAAGAATCTACATACTGTACTTGAAAACAGTTTTAATCAAACAGCTCGGCCTGGTGTCACAATATAGAATGTAGAAGGAAGCAACATTTTCATGGAAAATTTCACATTCTGTCCCTCGAAAGCAAATGCTTGGAGACTTAAAAACATATCTTGCAATAGAAATGAGCCTAAACAATGCCTAAACACATGGCAAATTACAGAGCTGTCAAACTCGGCGAGGCAACATGCAGTTAACAGCGGAAACTGTGCAGACCTATGACCTCTAACGATTCAACTCTACTTAGAATTCCTTTATATAACACAACATGAAGTGCCCTTTATAAACACGAGTGAAGCAACGAAAAGGTCAAGAGACCGAACAGAGAATGGCAAATGTACAAATGTCACGATGGAGAAGACTCGTGTGGTTATCGACTGGTATCGATTTTCAATAACAATCGATAGATAAATTGATATCAATTGGTTGCAGATTGACAGAATCAGCACATAAATATCACATCTTTGTACGCAGTAATTGTAAACACATTTCATTTTATTGCTTTGAACGTTAAAAGAAGAACAATAGTATCTTCTTTCTCTGCAATGCCCCATCCACAGGTATCCGTTTTCCTTTGACAACTCAAAAGTTTGTTCTCGTTCTTGCCTCCAGTCTACACTTATCCCATGAAAACGTTAACCAAAAACAGAAACGATTGAAGTTGGAAAGCGTTATCCAAACTGGAAAACTATTTAATACGTGCGGACATGGGCCAATACTACAGACTTCAAAAAATAGACAGTGGTTGCATTGTGCCTTCATGATCACAGAAAAATTCTGGTAACAGAAGTTGTACTTTGGCAAGTGATGAAATTGCCATCAACAGCAGCATGAGTTGTCGCAAAATAATGAATAAAGCAGCAATACCCAGCCTGATTATAACAAACCTAATCTTAAACACTTCACCAACGGCAAAGATGATAGCCTTTAACGATGCTCCTTGTATTCTGTAAAGCCTCTTCCCGCTCTTCTTACGTAGACATAATGACATGGAAAGGTAATGACAGGCAAGTGGGGAATTCGAGTACACGTGCTACAGGATATATTCTTTGTGTTGAGAAGACTGGGTCGGAATTGTTTCACCAATTTTGTCCCCAGGGCTTCCTGAAATTGGCGGATGATCAGACAGGTAGTTAAGAGTGAATGCCTATAAAAATGGACCTAAATCGCCTATCAATGGCACAGGTCGAAAAATTGATTTCGCTTGTATTTTGTCCATAGATAGGTCCTAGTAAGAATAG